GAACCACCTTTGGCGCTTTGATCCTTTTCAGGAAGAAACAATGATTGAAAATCACGAAGATCAACCGAAGACCTACCGGTAGAAGGTGCTCAGCTGACTACATGAGCGATAAACACAGTATAACTGTGAATAGCTTACAGCCACCTTCACTGTGTGCTTGGCACTGTGCTAGGCTCACTGTAAACATTTTACGTAGACATCACAACAGCCCTCGGAGGGCAGTGACCATATCTCCATTTTAAAGATGGGCAAATGGGGACGCCTGGGTGGCTCAGTCGGTTAAGCGTCTGCCTTTGGCTCAGGTCATGATCCCAGGGTCCTGGGGTCGAGTCCCGCATCAGGCTCCTTGCTCAGCAGGGAGCCTGCTTCTCCCTCTGCTGCTCTTCCTGCTTGTGCTCTCTCTCGCTATGTCAAATAAATAAATAAATAAATAAATAAAAAAAATAAAAAAAGATGGGCAAATGGACTTCAGAAAGTAGAAAACAGGGCTAGGATTCCAGCCTTGCATCTGGCTTGTATCCACTAAATGCTGTTAAACTCTATTTTAAAAAAAGAAGCTGCAATTCCTGTTTTTAATATATCTATTTATACGTCTACCTATATTTACCTATTTATTTGTACCTACACATGTATGTTTGCATGGGTGTATACATACATACAAGCTTACATTGCCAAGAACGGAGGCAATTTTAATCAATAGCCTCACATTTCCATAGTCAAGATGGGGCTGAATTCATTTTGTTGAGAGCCCCTACGTATTACCTGAGCAGTTGCCACAGCCTTAAACAAAACAAAACAAAACAAAACAGGCCTGTTTGCATTCTTCTGACTCTGCCTAGTTCTTAGGGCCTTTTCAAGCGGGTCCTGAGGAACTCAGAAGGGACAGGCTCAGGGACACAGCTAGTCGCCATGGCAACTGCCAGGCCTACAGCCCTCCGCTTGGAAGTGGTCAGAAGGGTGTGGAATCAGGTGGCAGACCCCCGGCGGGGGGGTGCTTCTAAGACACTTTCCTCCCCTCCGGAGCAATCCCGTGGTAGAGGCTAAGGGCCCCCTTGCCGGCCTGGCCAGCCTGGACCGTGTTTTCTTCTCCCATTCTTTTTTTGGAGGAGGGCGGGCAGGTTGAGAGAGGTGGGTCTCTGTCATTTCTACTTGGTAAAGGTAAGAAGATAATTTCTTACTGGGGAAACAGCTGGGCAGAACGGTGCGCCCTCCCCATCTCCACTCACCCGTGGCCCTCCCTCCTTCACGGAGGGATGCATCTGCGCAAGCTCCCTGCTGGGGATTGATGGGAAATCCCTCCTGGGGGATGATGGGAAGCCTCGTGGTGGGTGATGGGAAGGGCTCATTGGTAGATGATGGGAAACGCCTCCTGGTGGATGATGGGAAGGGCTGGCTGGGGGATGATGGGAGACCTTGCAGGTGAATTATGGGAAGTGTCTCCCTGAAAATGTTTTTAAGAGGTGGAAGAGGATTTCTTCTCTTTTTTCCAGTGAAGAAACCCGCTTCTGTTGATGTTCTCACCCTTTTCCCCCTCATGCCCACGAAGAAAGGAAGAGGACGAGTTAAGGAAGCCTCCTGAGGGCCTTACCTCGGACTTTGAAAGTGCTGCTTTTGTGACTACCGGGCACTTCGGGGTCACCTGGGAGTCAGGGGTCAGGGAGTCTGCGGCTACCAGGAATCAGCCTGGCCTAATGAAGTCTTCCTGGTGCTCCCCGGGTCTCTCAGAGCGGGAGAGCCTGGTCTGAGCTCTTCTGGGCGGAGGAGTTTGCATCATGTCCGGTGTTGCTGTGGGAAGCTAGGGACGCGGTCCTGTTGTTATCCCGTCTTATCTTATGTGGGCAATTGCTAAACCTGCCGTGTAGTGAAATTACTGTAGATTGAAAGATTTGGGGGGGAGGGGTAACTGACTAATTGGCACGAGATGTAAATCAAGTTGTAAATTTTAGAATTCACTAGGGCTGTCTATGGCTAGGCACCCAGCTGCTTGCCAATGGATGTGATCCTGAACAGGGTTTGCTTAAGCCACTTCTGTTTTTTTGTTTGTGTGTGTGTGTGTGTGTGTGTGTGTGTGTGTTTCAGTATAAAGCTCATTGAGCCAGTGGTTCTCTGCTTAGTAGATGGTTTAAGGCCACTCCCAGAAAAACCAGTTATTCCTTTAAATCAGAGATTTGGGAGGCAGTGGAGTGTAATGATGAACAGTAATGGCTTTGAATCCCATTGGCTGTGTGAACTTGAGCAATGACTTTACCTCTCTGTGGCTTCCTTTCCTTAGCCGTACAGTGGGGGAATGACAGTGAGGATTTAATAAGATAATTCATATAAAACTCTTAAAACACAGCCAGCACAGAGTCAGAACTTAGCAAAACTTGACTACTGTCATTGTTAGAGCAAACCTGAATGTTGAATTTCTGACATTCATTTTCACATGCAAAAAAGCTAAAATGTATTTGAATTACCAATTACCACTCCAGACTTCTAGCATTTAAAATATTTTTGACATTTTATTATAAAAAGACACCTACAGCTTCCCTGAGCCAACAGCCTCCAATGCTTAATTGTGGTAAATATGGCAACTGCCGAGTATAAAGAAGATCATGATATCTTTTTCCCAAACACCTCACTCTTCCCCACAAGAAAAACTGTTAAATTTTGGTATTTACAATCTTTTTTCTTTGCAACTAAAAAATAATGCTAATTGTAGGGTCTTGTGTGTTAATTTGCTTGTAAATTATTTCTTTTTTCAGTAAGTGATGTGTTTGGGCCTGAGATTTGGTTAAGATCACTACCTTCCATTATGTCATTGTTTCTGAGGGAAAGGCTGCAAAGTATGTGTGCTCTGGAAGATCTGTGGATGCTTCCCCTCATGGGTTTGGCATCTGTAAGGCTGTCGGCAAGATCAAACTGTTTCCTCAGCCACTCCTCCCCCTACTCCCACAGCAACAACAAACAACACACCTTGGGGTGGGTGTGAGGGGAACTTTCTTTTAATGATATGTGATTTCTTTGTAATATTTTTATTGTTAACATTAGGTAGCTATCATAATAAATAACAATACATTAATAAAATATTATCTTTGATCCCCATGGCAGCTCCTTGAGATCGGAAGGGCTTATCCTCCCCAGTTTACAAAATAGGAATCGGAGGTTCAGAGGGCAGGTGAATTGCCTGAGGTCACCAAAGCCATGGGAACCCAGAATTAGAACTTGGGCGTCCTAGCTCTAGGAGAGTAATGTTTTCAGTGAACAATGATGACTTTGAGACCTGTTTCCCCTCCATTTAGATGAGTTTTTTTGAGTACTTAAATATTAGGTTTAAAGAAATAAAATGATTTGGGTTATTGTTATTGTTCAAGGTATTAAAACCCAAACCCAACAATATTGAGATTTGAGACAACACAGTTGTTTGTGTAATTTGCAAATGTGTAATTATGCAAATGTACAATGCCAAACCACATAGAAGAGAACTCTGACCCACAAGCTACAGCCTAGGAAACCAACCCATTATCTACAGTAACCAGTCCAGGAAGCCAGTGTGCTGTAAGTCAGACTTGTAGGAAGTCATTCTGCTATCTCCACCAATTGATCTAGGAGCAAACAATAACCGCTGTAACAATTGGCCAGGACTTGATTAATAACTGAGCAATTCCTTAATCTTTGTCCCCACTTCCAGCTTAGGACCAACCAGAGAAGGTTCAGTTTGCACTGCTAACCAATCATCTAGGATGTCCCACTTCTAGATAATCACCTACAGCTTCCCTGAGCCAACAGCCTCCAATCAGGGCACACCTGAGCCCCCTCTCGTTTCCACTGTAAGCTTTGCCGCCCCTCCACCTGCCTGTGAGTCTCTGCCAAAATTCAAGTGATGGCGGCTGACTTCCTTGCTAGGGCAAGCTCTGAATAAATGGTCTTTGCGTGTTCATTTGGGTGGTCTTTGTCTATTTACACATACAAAATAGAACTTCTTTTAAGTACCACTGATGAAGAAAGACCTCAACCATATTTCCATCTCACCTGGGATCTAAAGGCCCCGATGGACTGGATTTCACTGGCTTGGCTGAGCATCTACTGTGTGAAAAACACTTTTCTAGGTGCTGTGGGGGCTGATAGCCAGCTAGATGGATGATAGATAGGTGGATGGATGACGAGCAGGTAGATGATGCATGGAGTTGAAGTCCTTTCCTCCTTGGGGTATAGAGGGGACTGGACTCAGGCTCGGGGTGGAGAAGGGATGTCAAACTCTGAAGGGCAGCCGTGTGGACACGCCTCTGCTGAGGTTAGAGCTGACTCCTTGCGTCAGGAGGAGGTTTATAAACACGAGAAAAGCTCTCGGCGGACGTATCTCTCTGGACTGCCAACACCGAAGGGTCAGAAGAGCCCAGAAGGTGAGGAGGAGGGGGCAGGGCCCACGGAGGGACCCAAGAAGCCAAGGGGACGGGTCGGATGAGGCAGTGCCCAGCGCCAGGCAGAGGTGAAGCCCTGTCCAGAGCTGGTGTCTGTGCGTCTTTTGTGCACCACGTCTTTATGGCCCTGGCGCAAAGGTGGCTCCTCGTTACAGCATCACCCAGCAGCCGACTGCAGGGTCCCGGGGCCAGCCACAGGGGGTCCAGGTTAGACAGCTCGCGGGTACCAAGTCCGTCCCAAGTCCCGCCCCCTTCCCTCTGCTCGGGCGGCGATTGGTCGAGGTACCCCTCCCCGTTGCTGTGATAGCACCGAAGGCTGCCAGCGGCTCCGCCCCGCGCCTTCCCACCCCGCCCCTTCCCGCCCCAGGCCACGCCCCCTCCCTTCCGGGGCGGCTATAGGCCAGGGCACTCCTTCCCGTTGCTATGACAGCACCCGAACGCCGCCAGTGGCTCCGCCCGGCGCCTCCCCACCCCTCCGCCAGCTGGGAGGCGGGGCAGGCCGCGTGTCCATGGCGACGGCGGACGCGGCGGTGCGGGCGGCGGGGACCTACCGACTAGAGACGCGCTGGTGGCGGCGAGGACCGACAGCGGGGCGAGGCCATGTCGGACCTGGGCTCGGAGGAGTTGGAGGAGGAGGGCGAGAATGATCTTGGGGTGAGCGCTCCGGGCGAGGGGGAGGCTTCCCAGCCAGGGACGGGGACCGCGCCGGCCGCAGAGGCGCCGCGTCCTGGAAGTTGGCGGTGAAAGGTGAAACGCTGACGTCTTCTTGCCACATCCCTTCTCGCGTCTCCTCCCCTCCGCAACCCGCCTCCCGTTAAAGGCAACCATTTCCGAGTCAAAGCCTCTGGAAGCCTCCTCGTCCCTGCTGCCACTCTCCATGCAGGCGCTCTCCGCGGTCGGCCGGGTCACCCCGCCCTGCCGTGCTGTCCGGAGCAGTCCTTTCTGCCATGGAGCCTGGCTCCTCAGGATCGAGGTGGAGGGAGGAAAGCTGCTTCGCGGCAGCCTTCAAGAGATGCTGAGAAGGTCTCAGCGAAGGCTTCCAGAAGATTCTGCCCTAGAGACCCGGAATCCCATGTGCTTTCTTCAGTCTTGTGGGAACTGACCCAAGTCGTTGGAATTCCCCGGTTTAGGCAGCAGAGAGGCGATGCCGGGTGCACAGCATCCAGCCGTGTGAGCTGGGCTCTCTGCGGGTGTATATATATGTCCACAGATTAATCACTCCACCCCAGAGGGTGACCATTTCCTGGCTGACAGGTGGGAACCCCAGCCATGGTGTACAGAGTTCAGATAGTTTCAGAATTAACTGAGAAATCTATCACCTCCGCTGTGATAGATGGGTTGGTGCCTGCTCTGACATTTTTGTTAGCTCTGTGCGTCCATCTCCCAGCTTCTGCCCCGGTTACTGCTGAAGACTAGCATGTCTATGAAATGGAACCACCTGGCCAGTAGGGAGGGCCAGAAGCCTGGGATCTACGTGCTCTCCAGACAGCCAGCAGCTAGTGCTAAAAAGCAGGACAAACTGCAGTGATTACACTCCAGAATCCCCTGTGCAGTGAGGCCGAGTCTGGGACATCTCCTGACACCCCCCATGCTCCTCTTTCATGTCTGTTTCCCTTTATTGATTACTCGGGGAGCACTTTTAAAAAATCGCTTGCTCGGGGTCTGCTTCTGGGGGAACCCAACCTACAGCATCTGCCCAGTAAGCCTTCAAGTTTGTCTCCTCAGGTAGCCCTAGTGTTTTGTAACTCTTTTGTGCCCATAATTTTAGCTTTAAATCACAGCTGGGGTCATTTTAAAGAGTTCCCCTCCTGTTCAGTCACTCCAGCTCAGTATTGGGTGCATTGGGAGGTCTTCTGAGGGGTGGGGGTAGCTTCTATATATTTTGATTTAGACTAACCCTGAAACAAATCAGTAAGGTCACACATTTTTACCTTCTGTTCCAAGCAAGGATTTCTGAGCTAGATAGTGCTAGGCAAGGGCAGACTGCAGAGGTGTTTGTTTCTGAAGTCCTAGTAGTGTTTCCGAGCTTGTGTTGCAGTAAGTCTTTGCAGATACAACTCCATGTCAAATCATTACTCTCTGCCTTTGCACTTTTATTATTTATTATGTGCACCCTGCACTCATGATTAGATGCGTGAGGAATGTTTATTTTGAGAAGGGTAGGAGAAAATAGGTGAATTACAAGCCTGTGTTAGGTTTTTTTTATTGATTTACTTTTAAGATACATAATTATTTCCATATTAGTCTATGAGTGTTTGAAACTCAAGTCTCCTGATAAGGACTTTAAACTTGATAAGGAGATTAACTAAGTGGAGTTAGGGACTCTTGTGACAACTGAGCCCTAGTTACTCCTCAGCTCCCCCATGTGGCTTTCCCTCCCACAGGCCCCTCCTGAGGGTAAAAGCTGTCAGGAGGCCGCAGGCTCCCAGGGATCCTTGAAAGAAGAGGTGGTTTTTTGCAGTTTAAGTCCTGGATTATTGGAGGAAGCCACAGGGAGGTATTTGTGTGGCTTGAGACCTATTCCACCTGCATCTATTACTTCCCACATGTTCCCATAAAGAACACAATTCGGAATACCTTGAGTTTTCCACAATTTGTCGATTTTGTTTACAGTGTAAAGGATTATCATGATAAATTGCAAGCTCAGATGTTGGAGAGAGGGAGGGAGGCTCCCACCAGTGCCAGGTCCTAGGGATGTCACCTTGGACCAATGCTCCTCCTCGCTCAGGTGTGGTTACCTACCTCACCTGTAAGATGGGGCTGAGGATTGGGAGGGATTCCGTGAAATACTATTTACAAAAATGCTTAACCCATCCTTCGTGATTAATACACGGTGGCTGTAATTATCCCTGTCTCTTCTGCCCAGGAATACGAGGGGGAGCGGAATGAGGTAGGTGAACGACACGGACACGGGAAAGCAAGACTGCCCAATGGGGACACGTATGAAGGGAATTATGAACACGGGAAAAGACATGGCCAGGTCAGAATGGGTGCCTTCGGTGGGTAGCTTTCTCCAGCTAACACTGTCATGGTGAGCCCTGAATTCAGGAATGATATGAATTGTCTGTAATCCATGTGTTTCAGGGAGTGTACAAATTTAAAAACGGTGCTCGGTATATTGGAGAATACGTTAAAAATAAAAAGCATGGTCACGGCACTTTTATATACCCAGATGGATCAAGATATGAAGGTGAGATGTGCTCACAAAGCAGAAGAAAGACAAGCGGGGAGTGGGTGGGAGCCCTCAGAAACTATGCAGGATTCTGTGTTCTGGACTTTTTCTGGGAAGAATGTGTCCAGTTTTCATCAGATTTCCCAGGAGGCCTGTGACCACACCCCTGGAGCTGTGGTGACAAGAGGTATGACCTCATGTAGGGAGGCTCACTGCTCGCTGTCCCAGCTTTCTGGTCTGCAGCGTGAGGCCCGAACAGTAGGAACAGTGCCTGACGGATGGCAAGCACTCAGTATGCGTTGGCCGGGTACATCGCTTCCCTGTGAGGACGTGTCCTTTGGGTGCAAGCCAGAGCTGCCTCCCTTGTTGCTGAATGAAAGTGGAACCAGGGAATTCTAAACCAGAGATTCTGCCAGTGTCCGAGAGCCAGGGGAAGGGTGCCAATGCTGGTTGTGTTAGAGAGGGAATTTCTGCTCTGTTTCATATTTCTTAGAGGGCTTATTCCAGAAGGAGCACCATCTGCTTTTTAAATCAACCTTAAACAATTTAGAGTTTGATTTAATTCCTTTCAGACTATTATGAACTTAATCGCATTGTTGTCATGTTGTATTTTAGTGTAGACCTTTAATACAAGCTGAACAACGTGTAAATGTATAAAAAAGATACTCAGAATAAGGGATTGAAGGAGTTTTTAACGTGAAAGTTAGCCAACATGTAAACCTTCTTTGGAAATAGATGTGAGTTTTTGTGTGTCCATGTGGCTTTGTACCTTAAAGGGTGCAGGGTGTAGTCACTGCTCAGAGATTTATTCTTGGAGGTCAGAAGCTACAATGTTAATTTTAGCTCAGTAAGTGAACAACCTTCCAGTCACAAAGTCTAAGTCAACACATGGCTGAATTCTTCAAAACTGTGTATTGGGCGACGGTCAGCCTAAGGGACGCAGAGTGGTTTCCTGCAGGTTAGCAAGAGTGCTCAGCCTCGGCCCGAGGTAGGGGGCACATTACTGATCTCCCAGCTCAGCCCGATGGGGAGCCCAGGGACAAGCGCACACTCCTGGTTTGGGGGCCACTTGAGCAGAGGCAGGGAGGCAGGGGTGCTTGGCGGAGCAGGGGATGAGGTTGGAGGGGTGAGTGGGTGCCAGACTTTGGAGAGGTGTTCGGACCACCTCTAGAGATTGTGAGATGTGGGGATGGAGGGTCAATGAGGGCTTGAGAGAGGAGAGGGAGCACCCCTCTCCAGCGCTGGTCCTGTTGCCGGCCGCAAGGAGCAAATAAAGATGAAGATGTTTAGTAATAACACCGTGGAGAGACAAAATGCTATGATGACTTGAAGTTGGCTTTTCTGGAAGCTCTCAGGTGGCAGGAGGCGGAAGAAGACATGAATGCTTGGCCGTTGGTGCTTGTGGAGGAGAGCATGATGTTGGAGCCCGGGAAACCCTGATTTTCGTTTCAGTCCTGCTGTGTGGCCTTGGGCAATGTGCATGATCTCTCTGGTTTTTGGGTGCTGTCCCTATAAAAACATGTTTCAGTTATTACACATCCCTAAGGAGGTGGCCAGCACAAAGACCCTAGTTGGCAGGAACCACCACCAGAGTGATGCCCCACCAATGTCAGTTCCCATCTCTTCCATGTTTTGCTGACCCAGCAGCGGAGGGACCCAGCAGGGCAGACAGTGACTAACCCTCATTTTAAGTGGGAAGAGAGCTTCTTGGAAGGGCATTTCATTTTATTTTTGTTTTATTTTATTTTTTTAAAGATTTCATTTATTTATTTACTTATTTGTTTGAGAGAGAGAGGGGGGAGAGAGAGCGCATGCACACGAGCAGGGGTGAGGGGGCAGAGGGAGAGGGAGAGAGAATCCCAAGCAGACTCTGAACCAAGTGTAGAGCCTGACTCGGGGCCTGATCTTACGACCCAGGGACCATGACCTGAGTTGAAATCAAGAGTCAGATGCTTGATTGACTGAGCCACCTAGGCGCCCTGGGACATTTCATTTTAAATGGTCTTTAATCCCCAGAGCTCCAGACCTGGGAGCTCTGGAAGCCTGGGGACAGCCGCACAGTCGATGCATGTGGAGGGCTTTGTAAGGGGACAGGGCTCTCCTGGAGGAAAACCAACCCGGACCCCAGCCAGCCAACTGTGGGGATTTCTCCCAAACAGAAATGTAGCCGAAAAACACTGTTGATATGATCGAGAATGAGGAGAAAGTATAGGATTTTAGGGGTAGAAAGACTTTAAAACACAAAGTGCACATTTAAAGCAACAGTAATACAGTTTCTCAGTGGCATGAGGTATAAAAAGGGAAACCTGCCTCATGGTTGTTAAAGACGTGCTCCAGGAGGCGCCCTTTCCCTCACTTAGCTCCCTCACTTCTGCACCATTTCCTGTGGCCCGGTTACCATCTGCTGCTCAGGATCGCTAACAGCGTGTTTGTTCCATCAACTGGGACTTTTTAAAAAAAGTTTCTGCACTGGCTTAAAATTTGGTGCCTTTTGCAGTTTAATTTTTTCCTTTCTTTGTTTTTTAGGTTTTATTTATTTGGGGGGGGGAGGGCAGAGGCAGAGAGAGAAGCAGACTTCTTGCTGAGCAGGGAGCCCGATGTGGGGCTCGATCCCAGGACCCTGGGACCATGACCTGAGCCGAAGGCAGACGCCTAACGACTGAGCCACCCAGGCACCTTTCTTTCTTTCTTTCTTTCTTTCTTTCTTTCTTTCTTTCTTTCTTTCTTTCTTTTTCTTTCTTT